CCACTTTAGGGTATGCTGCTCGGACTGTCTAGACATCACGCCACATGCGCGCTACCCAAGGTCGTGTACCCCCGTTCAGACAACCTTGGTGCCGATTGGCCACACTTCAGCCTATAACATTCCCCTCCCCTACCATATACGCAACTGTTTCTACAAGGCTTCCCGCTTGTGCTGCCTCTCCTACACGGTACACGTCCTGTTTACAACTAACTTTCTGTTTTGCATACATAACGAAGGACTTATGTACAAAGGTAACTGCAGTGAGCATGACCAAACAGTTGAAAGACCAATGCCTGTTTGGTAAAATTAGGTTTTATTCCATACGACGTAGACCAGGGGAGGCAGGCAATACGCCATACTGATTATGGAAACGAGGAAACTTCGGGGACGGCAGCAAAAATTAAGTGCACACCATATACTTGCCTAATTTCCTTCTTCGTCTAGTTATTTAGTTGTTATATAAACGTCATACATGATTTTCTCACCCCTCTTTGTGAAATTCTGGTGTGTTGCGCGTGCGAGGCCAGGCCATGTACGGGGCCATGCACTGACGGGCTCCCTAGCTCTGTCAACCACCGTACCAAATCTCCGCATCGGACAACTGAGTGGCTTGGACAATAGACTGGTGTCTGGGAGAGGGAAGAGGGATTGAGGTCCACCGTCAAAACGCATATTCCTCTCTATAAACAATCAGACATACTTTAGATTATCACGATGTGCTGAAAGCCATGACCTGGAGGGTTGCCAAATGATGGGATAAATTGTCTTTTTCTCGGGATGGAGAATCAGGCTGCAATGGTTCCTCCTTAATGTGGCCTCTATGGCAGTCCCAATCAATTGGGATGCGAACATCCGCCCCGTTCTCGTTGTCACATTTCATGGAAGACATTGCCCTGCTGTTTCGTGGAGCAGTTATGGACTTAATCCCCTGAAATGAACGCATGACTACCCAGACAGTATATGAGAGGTTGGTAACTGTTAGGACTGTTTTGAGAACGATCATTCCGTTTGAGGAGCTATTATGTAGATTGTGTGGTATCAGGGAAATTCGTTGACTAAGCAGCTCCGTGTTAGCGCAGCGCGAATAAGTATGTTGGACTGCACCAGTTATATCCTTGTTCGTGGTCTGGAAGATAGATTACAAATGAACCCCGCGCCTGTAACGGAACCGTGCACCTGCGACAAACGCACTATGGCAACGAATGATCCGAGGTCGTGAGTCTTTCTGTGTAAGGAGGACAGATGCGGTCACTGAAACCACTAGGCCCAGCGATGGGTGCGTCATCGTCGCTTGCGGTCGTGCTGAGCCCAATCGAGTCGACGAACGGACGGCCTATTGGCTGATTGGCCGAAAATGGTTGCGATCGCGGCGGCGTCTTCCGAGGTCAGCCAATCAACAGACGACCTTCTTGTACATGGCCTGTTTGTTGTAAACAGTCGCTCCGACGTGAATGGCGCTAGTCACTCTACTGATTATGGATGCCTTCCTCGGATCGTTCAAGCTGCAGACCAGCGAGGGATTCGACGAAGTTATGGCGCGCTTGGGCGTTGGTTTTATTACACGCAAAGCTGGTAACGCAATGAAACCGACGTTGACTATCTCGAAAAATGGCGACAAGTACACGATGAAGTCATCTAGCACCTTCAAAACGTCCGAATTCACATTCCATTTGGGTGAACCATTCGAAGAAGTGACTCCAGACGGTCGTACTGTGGAGTCAACGATCACCATGGACGGTGATGTCATGAAGCAGGTGCAGGTTGGCGATAAAACCACCTACATCACCCGCACTCTTGACGGAAACATGCTCAAAACTGTAAGTTCACTCTTTCTCCCATCACCCTTATTAGTCCTTAAAACTAACCTGTTTCGTGCTATCAGGGCACACAGTAAAAAAGTTGACTTCACAACCCTGTCATAATCTCTTTTTTTTCAGAGTATTTTAGGTAGTCCAGAACAGTTATTGTACAGGGAGGCACTGGCGTTTTCGTTCCCAGCGTTCTTTAGTGCGCTCGATACCCTTCCATAATGGCATTTACCTGTTTTGCCTGATGCATAAAGAACCCTTTGAGAATTAATTGTTTTATGCTTCTCATTTGTTGCTTTCTCTCATTTGTAGATTGTCAAGGTTGACGAACTCACCAGCCATAGGGACTACATCCGCGTCTAACCTGCGCATTTGAAAGACAGACGTCGAGATGACATTCACACCCTTTCCTAACTTATTGACTGTGGTTGTAAAAATGTTTTGGACGCCGTATTTGGAATGTAACCTTACAAAAGCATGCTTCAGTTGATTTAAAGCAAATGAGGATGACTTTTCTCTTTAGTAAGACTAATTGCCAATTCTGTCGTTTTGGCTTATTGTTTACCTGACTTCCCATTTGATACTCGTTGAAGTCAGCAGTATCCTAGACCTATTGACCGAATGAACTGGCGGCAGCATGTCCTTTTGTCATAAACGGTATTGGGGTGAATGTACTTTAATTCAGATATGATGACATTAAGACCAGACTCACAATCGCATTCATTGACGTTAGGCGTTATGCCCAGAGGCTGGCTTTACAGCATGTGTTTTATTCGATTCTTTCGCTTATTCATAAATCATGCGGAAACCTTTGTCTCTAGCACTGGGTCAGCAGAATTGGAGGGAGCAGACCAAAAGTAAGACTGGCTCATCCTGAGTAATCCAACCTGCAGGCCGCTCAAGTCAATCCAGTTAGGTCTCGGTTAAACAGCCGGTATTTCGGGATAACTATTCTTCGTTTTAAGACCATCGGGCTATAAGACTCCCAACACCGTAGTCAGCCGGTAAATTTGTTAGTCGGCTAAGATATGAGTACACCCAGGGCTCGCAATGTGAGGACAAATCGTTTGCACATGGTAGATCGACCACGGACGCCGGCTGACCCCGTGGGCCAGCATTGACGAAACGAAGTTCATATTAGATGATTAGATTATGTATCATTCTGAAGTCCAAACACACACGACAAGCAAAAGTTGCCTGTCTAAAGGGAAGTGGCGGAAATCGGGGTTCTACGGGCGGGACACATGTATGCATAGAGGAATGGCAAAATAAGTAAAGATAATTACAAATTATAGTAGAAAAAATGAGAGGCCACTGATACTAACATGCACTTCTCATATCGCCCTATTCCGTACTCATGCATCACGCATCATAGGCCTGCTTCGGGCTACGTGTAGAAAGTGCGTTAAGACCCCATGAATTAAACTCGTGGCGCACGACGTCGACACCCACAGTGTCCCACCATAAGCACGCAAGCGTAAGCAAAGGACACATGCGTGCACCGGCACTTCGGTTCGAATGCACTTGCCGACTTTGGCTGGCAGTGTTCGTCTGCGTGCACGAGCACTAACAACGCTCACACCAAAGCCTCTGTTGCTCTTGCTGCTGCTGCTGCAATAACAGGTGAAGGGTGATCAACTATGAAGTGAAAACCTTGACTTCAAGGAAATTCAAGGATAATGTTGAAAGCTTGTTTTCGGGGATTAAGCTGCAAAAGGCACCAAACTGAAAAAAAAACAATATCCGTAAACGCGTGGTTTCTAGGCCTGTTTTCCCCTCACAGAATCACCGTACATCAATTTTTTTAAACGGCAGTGACTGCAGGAACGACTGTTTTCAAGATGTAGGACTGGTCATGAATATTTTGGCAAGAAGAAGAAGAAACTAGAGGTAAAATAGAGAATAGAAGTGAAGGGGACAGTCACTTTACCTTCCAAACGGCCCGTAGTAGGCGCCAAATGTCGGAAAACCGAATGGAACATTTAGGCGTGCACTCAAATAGAATGAAGTAGTTACATGAAATTACAGTGTTCAGAAGCATAGAAATTAAGCACAAGTCAGGTCCTGAAGAAGTGCCTACTGACTTCTGCTCACCTATGAGAATCGTTTTTTTCCGTGGAAGCTACAAAATTGTGAGCATTTTTCTGCCTAATTTGTGTCTGCTGGAAAGGTGATTCGATTTCCTAGGAAATATGGGCTTCATTTTATTCATGTCTGCTGAGACTCAGTACCGTCGGAGCGCTTTGTAACGTTTCACGAACTGTTTAGAGTTGTTTGAATAATATCGGACTTCCCACGTGGATCCGGGATGGTGATGGTGTCACTGCGTGTCGGGGAAAATAGCCGATGGCCCTTCCCTCTCTCTACTGCCGACCTTCTTCTCGCAACTCATCGTAACGCTCTCCTCACTCTGTCTACGTCGGCACCTCCCCCGGCCCTCCCCTGCAGTTGCCCACAGCGCTGCATTCCTCGTCGGTTGTCCAACAGGCACGTCAGCATCACCTCACCATCCAGACAGGTCATTCCTCTGATGTGACTCACTCCAATTGCACAATTAAACATTATCGTTCATTTCTAGTTTATATCCGTTCCCATTATACCGTTGTATCCGCCCAATTCTTCCTTTCTTTCGTATGAATGAGTATTGTGATGTGCTAACAACTCTATTCAGATAAGTCTTACACGGGAACTATTCTCAGTGATCCGCTAAATTGGCGTGTGCCATCCTTGACGTTCTCGGCCTCTACAGCTTGCCTGGAAGTTAAGATTGACAGCATGCCTTGTAGTGCGGTTCAAAACTAAAGGCAAACCAGATCCTCACGAATATTTTGTGGACATCAGAATGTCTCTTACCGGAGACCCGAAGAAGAACGTGAATGTACTTGCGAAGAGACTCTAAAGCAGGTGATTTGGGAAAGTTCTAAACCAGTTCTAAACCAGCACTCGTTATTCTAAAATACACACGAAATGCAGCGAAGTCTGAGGCGACGATGGGGAATGAACATCGACAACGATGTGAGCAGACCGAGAGAGTACTCCTTTACGGTTATTCTGCCTTCATTCAACTAACTATTACTCTGAACACCAGAAGGAACGGAAAACACAAAAATGCGTGCATACAACACAGACGAGTCCCACACAGGTTTCATCAGACACTGTACTCAATCGAAATTCTTCTGAATATCGTCATCTGACATCCTATGTCGCCGCAGAGGGGGTATTTGTTCACGCAATAGTGGGCGCACACTAATTTACTAGGCCCTGGAAACAAACAAGCTCCTAATAGGTCCCAAGGGTCACGAACAGGCTAGCCCTTGCAAGACCGAACTGGGCATTTATGAATTTCCGTTCATTGAAGGGCTTATGACGCATCTGATAGGACTCGTCCCAGAAGCATCTGCGTTGTATGTGCGGGCATGCTCAAGTTTTTCGTTGCACCCGTTTGTCAGAGTTAATGTCGATTGAAGGAAGGCAAACTTATCTCAAAACAATGCTGTGTCAATCCATCCACATCGCTTTCGACAGCCTCTCTGCTATCACAGTTTGGTCGCGTTCGACCTTGTCGGTAGTTGTTACCCGTTCGTGACCTCTGCCGACCATTTGGAGCATGCTTATTTCTGAAAACCAATGGATCAGTGTGCATTCATTTCTGTAAAACAAAACAGCGTTTCGAGATTTTGAGCAACAACTTTAAGGTGGATGTAACTTTTTGCAGTGTGAGCCGATGAACTAAATATTACATGCGTTCTTCGTAACACATGCGAGCACATTTATGTAAGCAACCGAATCAGCTGGACGTATATGCACCACCTATGCTATACAGGCTGCTAAAATGGTACTAACGACATTCTGCACGTTAACTTGAGTTCTTGTCTTATTTGCTACTGACTGTTTAACAGTAACCAGACTTCACCACATCCACGCTTACTTTGTTCGTGCATCCCTACTCATCGATTCCCATAGTTCTTTGTTCATAGCTCTTTTTTGTCGTTCGGTTGTAAATCGACCACCACGCGTTAGTGTCATTCGCGCAAGTGCTCGTCGGACCACCCAGAGTGTAGGTCCACTTTTGTCCGTCTTTTTAACTCAGTCGTGCTCTGTTAATCGTACTGATTATTACTATAGAACCCTACAGAATATACGAGTAATTCCAACTGCCTTCTAACAGGGCCTTTGATCTCGGCCGTGTCTGTTCCGGTGAATAAACTAGCACTGCATTGAGAAATCCTATGGAATATTAACAATAAGTCTGAAAGCTAGCATGCAATAATCAACTGTGGATCATGACCTAACCGCACAGTACTTGAATTTCATTCTCCTAATTATTTCTGGTTCAACGACAGTAGTTTGTTGGAAACCATTTTCATCTTGTAGTTACGTCGCCAGAGTCGAACTTAATAGATCGAGTCTAAAATTATATGTGAAGATTTCGGCCTACTTCAGTCAACTACGTTGAATGAGGCCCACCTGTCGAAGTAACAGTAGCACCCGTTTTGTGCGAACTTTTGTTTCACCATTCTCCCATCTTGAGTACTAGAGCATATCCAAAATTCAGCTCAACATATGGTGACTTCATGAACAAAATTATGTCGGTCCCACTACGGTGACGATCAAACTTAACCGTTGGATCAAAAGTATGAATTTGTTAAAAGTTGTCTTTTGGCATACATATCCCATAACTGCAAACTAGTAGTTATCTGACTGCGGAAAATTCCAGACAATTTATAGTTTACTTAACATCATCCTTACGTATTTTCCTTCGGATAAAGGTCAGACGCCTTATCAAGAAGGCGCCATCTCCTAACAGTATTGTTTCAAGGCGGATACGAAAACGATTACGGCGCCCACCTTTTAAGTGAAGTGGGTAGTCCACTCTGCTGCGATAGGCCAAAACCAAGGGAGAGTATGAAATGCCAGAAAAAGTGCTTTGGGCAAGATGAAAAATGGTTGGGCTTCCCTGCATTATTGAAGGCATGAAAAAAGAGGATATATAGGTTGTTTCTGTCAACTCATGTCTCCCTTCTCTTGCTAGCCGAAACATGGTCCTATGATACTGGCGCGTTAAGTACATCCACCACTTGAGCCTCTGCAAAAACTGAGTCATTAATACGAGGAAACACACAAGACTGCTCATCCAAATGCGATTGGTCTTTCCTTTTTATGACGTGACGGCATGTGGTGATCGACGTGCAATTCCAGCCCCTTGATCGCGCCCTAAGGTCTCCAAAACATTCCTGGGTACATGACAGGACATGTCGGAAGGGTTTTTCAGGAAAGGAAAAGAAGGTTCGGCTTAGGAGACTTTTGGACAACCAGTATGAGTAGAATCTTCACGAACATATCGGGCCTCAAGTGGTTTGTCTGTCAGCCTCCCCCATTGTAGGTCGTCGACTTTAGTCCCCTCACTGATGAACTGATTGGCGATATCTTGTCATCTAGATGTATTACATTATGTTAACAATGGGACTTTACCGGACATGAGATTCAGCTGCCAGAGGCGTTAGCAAACACGCAACCGCTGTGTTAAAGACAGTCAACTGTAGTTCTGTCTAAACAGACTGACGGGTCTCCCATGGTATCTTCGTGCACTATATCTCGGGCTGAGGGAGCAGACCAAAAGTAAGACTGGCTCATCCTGAGTAATCCAACCTGCAGGCCGCCCAAGTCAATCCAGTTAGATCCCGGCTAAACAGCCGGTATTTCGGGATAACTATTCTTCGTTTTAAGACCATCGGGCTATAAGACTCCCAACACCGTAGTCAGCCGGTAAATTTGTTAGTCGGCTAAGATATGAGTACACCCAGGGCTCGCAATGTGAGGACAAATCGTTTGCACATGGTAGATCGACCACGGACGCCGGCTGACCCCGTCGGCCAGCATTGACGAAACGAAGTTCATATTAGATGATTAGATTATGTATCATTCTGAAGTCGAATTGGCAACGATCGGGTGAAGGAACACAAACACACACGACAAGCAAAAGTTGCCTGTCTAAAGGGAAGTGGCGGAAATCGGGGTTCTACGGGCGGGACACATGTATGCATAGAGGAATGGCAAAATAAGTAAAGATAATTACAAATTATAGTAGAAAAAATGAGAGGACACTGATACTAGCATGCACTTCTCATATCGCCCTATTCCGTACTCATGCATCACGCATCATAGGCCTGCTTCGGGCTACGTGTAGAAAGTGCGTTAAGACCCCATAAATTACACTCTCGTGGCGCACGACGTCGACACCCAAGCGTAAACAAAGGACACATGCGTGCACCGGCACTTCGGTTCGAATGCACTTGCCGACTTTGGCTGGTAGTGTTCGTCTGGGTGCACGAGCACTAACAACGCTCACACCGACGCCTCTGTTGCTCTTGCTGCTGCTGCAATAACAGGCGAAAGGTGATCAACTATGAAGTGAAAACCTTGACTTCAAGGAAATTCAAGAATCATGTTGAAAGCTTGTTTTCGGGGATTAAGCTGCAAAAGGCACCAAACTGGAAAAAAACAATATCCGTAAACGCGTGGTTTCTAGGCCTGTTTTCCCCTCGCAGAATCACCCTACTTCAATTTTTTTAAACGGTAGTGACTGCAGGAACGACTGTTTGCAAGATGTAGGACTTGCCATGAATATTTTGGCAAGGAGAAGAAGAAGAAGCTAGAGGTAAAATAGAGAATAGAAGTGAAGGGGACAGTCACTTTACCTTCCAAACGGCCCGTAGTAGGCGCCAAATGTCGGAAGACTGAATGGAACATTTAGGCGTGCACTCGGATAGAATGATGTAGATACATGAAGTTACAGTGTTCAGAAGCATAGAAATTAAGCACAAGTCAGGTCCTGAAGAAGTGACTACTGACTTCTGCTCACCTATGAGAATCGTTTTTTTCCGTGGAAGCTACAAAATTGTGAGCATTTTTCTGCCTAATTTGTGTCTGCTGGAAAGGTGATTCGATTTCCTAGGAAATATGGGCTTCATTTTATTCATGTCTGCTGAAACTCAGTACTAAATACACGGGCCTTCGGAACGCTTTAGAACGCTTCACGAACTCGCCACATTCGCCGTCGGTTTCTCTGGGACCGTATCGTTGACGCCAAATTCCTTGTCGAGTCTGGTGCCGAGATTAGCGTGGTTCCACCAACTCCGGCCTGGCGCAAACACTGCGGCTTTTTTGGCTTACAGTTGCCAGAAACTCCAGCATTCCCACCTTTGGACAGTGCTCCATCACACTTGATTTGGGCCTTTGTCGGATTTTCCGATGGGTTTTTATTATTGCCGACGTTTCCGTCGCCCTCATAGATGCCGCTTTCCTAGCTTACTGCAATCTACTAGTAGATTTGAGGAATCGCTTACTCGTCGATGTCTCTTGCCAATCCCTGCGTCAACCCTCTTACTGTTATGCCCATCTCTGGCTGTCCTTTCCACTCACTCCTCAGGCAGTTCCCCCGCCTGACCAACCCCTCATTTCGTGAAGTGGACATAAAACACGCAGTCACCCACCACATGTCCACCACCGGACCTCCCAGATCTTGCCAAACACGTCGTCTTGCTCCGGACCGTTTGAAGATCGCCAAGGCGGAGTTCGAACATCGCTTGAGCTCGGCATCACCCCTCGATCTTGTCCCAAAGAAGAGCGGCGACTGGCGACCGTGTGGTGGCTATCGGGCGTTGAACACAGTGACTGTCCCCGACCAGTATCCCGTCATGTACATCCAAGACTTCACTATTTCGCTGCATGGTAAGCGAATATTCTCCAAGATTGACCTTGTTCGTGCCTACCACCAAATCCCACTCGAGGCCAGTGACGTGCCTAAAACTGCAGTGATCACTCCCTCTATGATTATTCGAATTCACTCGTAGGCCCTTTGGTCTGATGAATGCCACTCAAACCTTACAGCGGTTCATTTATTAGGTGTTGCGAGATTTTGACTTCGTCTACGCCTACATTGATGATTTGCTGGTAGCTAGTTTTGACGCTGCTGAACACGACGTTCGTCTTCGACAACTATTCAAACGACTTGACTCCTTCGGCGTTGTAATCACTTCTGTGAGATGTGTTTAGAGTCCCTAGCCTAATCTTCTTGGGTCACGAAGTGAACTCAGATGGGATAAAGCCCGTTCCAGAAAAGGTTTCGGCCATATCAACGTTCCCCGTTCCAACAACCATCAACCAACTACGCTGCCTCTTGGGGATGGTGAACTACTATTACCGTTTTCTTCCCCATGGTGCCACCATACTGCAGCCACTCAACAGCATGTTGGCTCACTTCAAGAAGACACTAGTGATGACCGAGGAGGCCGTCAGGTCCTTCAATGACGTCAAGGCCGCACTTACCAACGCAACACTGCTTGCCCACCCCCGCGCTGTTGCCCAACTAACTCTCATGACTGACGCTTCCAGCACTGTCGTTGATGCATCACTTCAGTGAACTGTTAGTGGTGTCCTACAGCCTCTGGCTTTCTTCTCAAAGAAGCTCAGCTCAGCAGAGACCCGCTGCAGTGTTTTCGGCTGAGAACTCCTCACCGTCTACTTCTTCATCCGGCACTTCCGACATTTCTTCGAGGGTCGCTAATTTCCCGTTCTAACAGATCACAAACCACTCGTTTTTACACTGAGGGCCTCTCCCGATCGATACTCGGCCCGTGAAATTCGTCATCTAGATTTCATCTCACAGTTTTCCTGCGACATCCAACATGTCCATGGTAAGAAAAATGTGGTTGCTAATACTCTCTCAAGAATCGAGATGGCTTCCATCACAACAAACGCAATAGACTTCACACTCATGACTGAGGCTCAAAGATCGGATGACGAACTCTCCCAATACCGCCACGAGGACTCTTCTTTACGTCTTCAAGATGTCCCTCTTCCCACTGGCACTGGTACTATACCGTGCGACCTTTATACCGGACACGAACGTCCTTTTATCCCAGTACTTTACGACGACAAGTGTTCAACGCTCTTCACAATCTATCCCACCCTGGAGTCCAGGCGACAGTGAAACTCATCACTGACCGATTCATCTGGTCTAGCATCAACCGGGGTGTATGGCGTTGAACCCGATCCTGTCTACCATGTCAGCGCGCCAAAACTCATCGCCAAACTATTACCCCACCAGATACTTTCGCCACTCCTGATGCACTTTTCACTCATGTGCACATTGACCTGATAGGTCAGTTTCCACCATCTAACGGTTCTGCTTATATGCCGACATGCATTGACCGCTTTACTCGGTGGCCGGTTGCTGCGCCCATTGCGGACATCAGTGCCGAAACCGTAGCAAAAGCCTTCCTGACTCATTAGGTGTCTAATTTTGGAGTTCCTGCGACTGTCCCAATTCGAGTCCACGCTGTTTCGCGAGCTCATATCCCTTCTCGGTACCAACCGAATTCGAACAACAGCATACTACCCTCAAGCAAATGGTCTCGTCAAACGCTTCCATCGACAACTGAAGACTTCCCTAATGGCCCAGCCCGACCCTTCCCGATGGTCCGATCACCTTCCCCTGGTGCTGTTGTCCCTCCGTTCCACTCTCAATGTCGACATCGGTTGCAATGCAGCTGATCTTGTCTACGGAACCTCCCTACGACTGCCCGGTGAGTTAGTATCCACTTCAAACACGCTAAAGTTTTTTGAACCTTGCAGTTATGTGGAGCAGCTGCGTAGTGTCATGCGCAGTCTCCGCATCCCACCCAACCTGGATAAGTGCGATTTCGTCTTGGTTCGACATGACGCTGTCCGACGACCACTCCAACCACCCTATGACGGGCCGTATAAAGTCCTTCGTCGATCTGACAAAGATGATGTTATCGATCGCAACCGCAAGACCGACACAGTCAGCATTGATTGAGTCAAGCAGGCGTACATCGAGGGCAGTGGCTATTCCTCACTCCAACACATACTGGCGACAGACCGCATCCGGTTCGCCGCACACTATCTAGTCGTCACGTCCAATGGCCCGACAGGTTTGTGGCTGGCTAGCATGTCGACGCCTTCACTTCGTTTGGTGTCTGGGGGGGGAGTCGTAGCAACCGCTCCAGTCCCCCATTTCTCCGGCTCCTTGTTTTGTCGGTCGACGGCCGCGACAATCGTTGCCAGGCCGCTGACACACGGCCACCCCCGCCGGCTAGAACTGGGGCACCTCCTGTCCAGCTGCAATGACCCCCGGCTGCCCCCAAGAACTATTATCACCTCATGCGCGTCGGACGACCTGAATTGATACCCGTGAGCCCCAGCGACTATGCGTCCCCCTAATCCTCCCCTAATCCGTCCAATATCACGACCAGCACTCAGAAAGTCAGCCCCACCTACTTCACACACACACACACGCACGCACACACACACACACACGACAGTTCGACCGTCGATTTCGACGATGTCCACCGTGTGCCCCACAGACTGCATTGTGGGAGCAGGGACGGTGACTTGCGCAGGGGTTTATAGTGCCAGTAGACTTGCGCCGCATCTATCTACACTCTCTCCTCCTCCCCCGCCTGGGCCCGGTGTCAAGACAGAGTCAAGAAGACCGGAGACGAGGGAGGCCGCAGGTGGATGGCTCGGACGGATCCTCACCTTGGCGTTCCACCACACCCCCTGGTCCACACAACAAATAACCAGGATTTTCACCAACACAACAGAGATTTTTAGGCTGGCACGAACGAAACCGCACCTGGGCGTGCCGCCAACGCCTGGCTCGGATTCCACACTGTGATGGGAGTGCCATAGAGGCCACATTAAAAAAGGAGCCATTGCAGCCTGACTCTCAGACCACCACCACCAGTTAAGGAGGAGGTCTAAGTTATCCCGTCAGTTGGCAACCTTCCAAGCCAAGGTTTTTAGCGCACCGTGATAGCTTCAAGCGCGTCAGATTGCTTATATTGAGGAGGAAAATGCACCGAGTCGTCGACCTCACTCTCCCTTCCCATCCCCACACCCCAGTCGCTGTCCGAGCCGGTCAGCAGACTGGAGTTGGAGATGGGCGCGGTGGCTGGCATGGTCGACTGACCATGACTGCGCCCGCCACAGCACGAACTGGCTCCCCATACACAGACACACACACCAGGATTTCACACAACGGGTGTTGAGCGGATTGTCAATCACTTGCGTGAGAGGGCAGTGGAAGGTGCTGTTTCAGCCCGTTCCCAGCCCACCAGTCCGCCACTCCACACAACACACACAACGGGACGGACTGCGTGAGCCGAGAGCGGGCATCAGTCAGCAGCCTTCCTATCCACGACGCTTGACGTGTCGGGATAGGCTCGGTCTCAAGTCACCCCTGCAGCCGAAGTCGCATGGGGACCGAGTCGAGATGGACACTTCCCTCTTGCGTGGGAGGTGGCAGTTGGGTGCATGCGGTGGGTGAGTGTTGATGTGTGATGGGGTGATGGTGGAGGAGGGTAGGGAGTGTGTGGATGTGTGGTGTAACCGGCGGTTGTCTACCGCAGTTCGTCGTGGATGCGCATGTGGCCGAATAGGCCCATGCGATGCCTGAAGGTGCGAGGACAGTGTGGGCAGTTGAGTCGAGCTTGGTGGGTATAGGTTGGTGCTCCAGGCGCTGGTTTGCCAGTCTCTGTGCGATGGATTCGCAAGTGACCGACCAGGCCGATGCGAGAGATGAATGTGCGTGGGCGGTGTGGGCATGAGAAAC